GTAAAGAAATAAGGCTGAACATGGAAAGAGACCTCATTTTTCCCTTGGGGTTCAATGCACAGTAACGGTTCATTCCACTCACTAATGATGAGCACCACGGTCTCCATGTACCAGCATGACAGCTCAGCACCTGGAGCCAAGGCAAGAAAAACACCGCACATGGCAACCTTTATCTATACTAACTGTGGTCGAGATACCAACTCACGTCTTTGTGCCAACACAGGAAATGAATACATAAAAGGCGAGCTTTAAGCTTTATATTATTACTTGCCTTTTTTAAGGAACAATCATCTTTTTTTAAAAAAAAAGTGCAACAGATCCAATGATCTTAAAATCTGACCAAAAAAAAGAAAGAAAAGAAAAAATGGGCAAAAGTAGAATAAGAAGATATATAATAAGAAGAATAAGAGAACATCGAACTAAATCACAACATTGTTCAGCCTCCTACTGATACCGAGCTTCACCCACTGTGACCACTTGCTCTCCATTGGAAGAAAGTGGGCTTTGGCCACGCACACAGCACTACAGTAGGTTTGAACTGTATGAAGACTTAGGTTGCCTTGATGAAACCCAAGTGGGTTAAGGAAAGAAAAGAATTTCCCCCACAACCTTGGGGAAAACTAGCAAGAATCAACAAGGGCCATAAAAATTCTTTGTTGTGTATTGTTTGCAAAATATTCCAAAAATGAGTAGAGAAGAGTCTCTCCCCCCACACCTTAACTCCTGGAAAAAAGGTTATGAAATGTTCTTGTGTTGCCCACCTCATTGCCCAACTCGAGGTGAGGCTCACGTTGTAAGGAGTGGGGCGAGTGTGGAGTACTGGGATGGGTGTGTGTGGTGTGGGTTCTGCTTTCTGATTTATCTCCTTCTTCTGCGGTGGGGTGGGGAGATGGCATAAAATTAGATACAAGACATTGGCCACACTACATTATCACATAGGACACTCTAGCTTGATGATTGCATCTTGGATGCAAGAAACCCCAAGATTCCCCACAACCTATTATGTCTGTGCCCATCCAGCAAAACAGAGAACCGCAGAGTTCCGGGAGGAGACAGAGCTGAAGTGGCAGCCTAAATAAGAATGGAGGAGACGTGACCCACACACTGGAAACCAGCCTTCCAACACAAACCACACTCACTAAAATCTTCAAAGTCAACACCAAGGGTACTTACCAATGAGGAGGTTCACTAATGGCAGGAGAAGCTATTCTCAGAAACACTGCAACTTTAAAGGAGTCCCAGACCCACCTGAAAAACAATCGTCCACTGCTTGCTTCCACAGGTTAATGTGTAACAGTTATGTTTACCAAGTTGGACAAGAAAAGTTAACAGGCAAATCATGCTCTGATTATCTTAACTCAGCTGGTTGGAGCCTGGTAAACTAGTTAGAGCCCAGTGGAAGCGAACCCTCAGCTGTTGGCTTGGTTTGGCCAGTGGCACCAACCACACGTCCACAGCCAGAAAGGCAACCACAGGGAAACATGAGAAGCACCCAGACAAATCTGGCACCACCACTGAAACAAAAGCGCCAAGCACGTGTGCTTTTGATGCTGGAATAGTAAGTGGCCATCTTCATACATAGTCATTTTCATCTTTCGTGGGAAAACAGTCACCTTCTGCACAGGCATGTGTTGTTTAACGACGTTTCGGTCAAAGACGGACCATGGGCGGCATCTACAGGGCGGTCCCGTGGGATTCCGGGGGAGCTGAAAGATTCCTATCGCCTCGCGACCGCACAGCCGTCCTAAGGTCAGGGCACAACACATTACTTACGTGTTTGTGCCGGTGCTGGTGCTGTGCTACCAGTCGCACAGAAGAGCAGCACATACAATTATGTGCAGTGCAGAATACTTGAAATAGGCAATAAACAACTAGGTTACTGGTTTGTATATTTATTATATTATACTTTTGTCATTATTCTAGAGTGTACTCTTTCTACTTATAAAAAAAATATGCCTGCAAGCAGTATGCCTTGTTACACTGGCAGCAGCCTCTTATCTTGTCTCTGGATCATCTTCTCGGATTTAATCATGATTTAATCTCAGGTAGTTGTGATCGGCAGCCTGCTGCAGACTACACCACGCGGTCTAGGCGTGTGGCTGTGTGGCAGCCGACACCACCCAGGATGGCGTGAGTGCACCCTGTGATGTCCGCACAACAACGAAATCGCCGAACATTGCATTTTTCAGAACGTATGCCCATTGTTAAGTCACGGATGAGTGTGCTCCTTACTTGTCTTCTGGGGTAGGCAGGACTGAAGCCATCTGTTTACAGGTGTTGTTACTTCATGTAAAATTATAACAAAGTAAAAACTACTCTTAAAGTCCCTCAGTGGAAGGTTTACAGACTGTAAAAGTAAGTGTGGCATCCCTCTAAACGTGAGGCTGCATGTTCCTTTTGGCGGTGCAGCGTCTGGTACAGAGTGGGGGACACACTGATTTTCAAAGACAAAGCAGATACTTGAAGACAGACGTAACGCCCTTTCTCAAATGACTGACACCAGTGGCATTCAGTCAAAATGAAGACATACAGAGAATGTATTGGGGGCCACACACTGTGTTACGCGGAAGAATGAAAAGTTATTAAAGCAGAAGACAATGAAAAGAACAATTCCTTTTTTTTTAATTATTTAAGGCCATGGCTTTACCTACATGGTTTTGAATATTCAGATTGAAGTTGTGGAAATGAGTCAACCACTTAGGTCTTCAAAACCACGTAGACAAGGAGTGTGGCATAATTGAAATCAGAAGGTTAGCTGAGGTTTTTAGCACAGGCACACCTCAGAAATACTGCTTTTGTTCTAACATCCAGGAAGTAAGGAGCCCGTCCTTCAAATCCAGGAGTTCATGTCACGTTTGGGGAAATAAATAGCAGCATCAGGGTGTTTTCAAGGTTCCGTGCTGAAAGTTGGGCCACTGAAGGACACCCAAATAAAACCAGCAGGTGGCTTTGAACACTTCAAAAAAATACATGCATTTCTGGATAGCGCAGATGTGAAGCAGCAAGCAAAGATAACAGAACAGCAGGGAAGACAGAAACTAGGTTGAGAAGTCACCAAAGGAAAACTCGAAGGGAAAGCCCATTTGAAAAGGGGGGCTGTAAGAAGACGAAATGGCCACAGATGGGGGCCCCAGGTCCGGCCAGAGGAGCCGGGCGGAGCAGAGGTAACCTGGGCAAGGAAGCAGGAGATGAGGACCACGGCTGGGCGGTCCAGGAAGGGGACCAGGCGCTCTCCCTGCAAAGGTCAGCCGGTGCGCCGTGCAAAGCGAGAACCCTGAGCGGTGCAATTCTGCAGGCCCATGAGCTCACATGGCAAAAACAGAAGAGACCACAAGACGGAAAACTCCAGACTGTTTTGGACTTTTTAAACTCCGACAGCTACCAGGTCTCCCCTTCCAGCCTCCACCCGTACTGGCTCCTGACAGTGAGTGATAAAGGGCTTTGCTGATGTCCACAAAAGCCAAGGAGTCCGCAAACTGAGTCCTCACAGATACCACCTGGATTTTATCCTGGTCTCCAAGGTCCTGGCAAACCCTGGAAGATTAAGATGCCTTGAGATAAATGGCATTCCCTAATCAAGGCACAGAGGAAAACTCGGGAGGGGCAAGGGAGACACTGTGAGAATCCTAACACATGACGTGGCCTCCCAGAGTCCATCCAGAGCAGCAGATTGGCAACCTTTTGGTAAAAGGAGAAATAAAAAGTGCTTATGCCCTTCTGCACTGAGAAATCACTTTGTGTTAAGCTGTAGTGTAATTGAAGGGGAAAAAAGGATTTAGCATGACGAAAGAGGAAAAGCCATCCATGAGAAGGTATACCATGAATATTCTTACCCTGTACATCCCCTAGAAACAGACCATAAATAGAAATGTTTGCAATTTGCTGAGGATATAATTCTTATTAGTTCTTGGGGGAGGGAGGGGAAGGCGACTGAAGTTTTAAAGACCGGCTGGGGCAAGAATGAGAAAGCACCCAGTCAGAGAACCCCTACACTCTAAATTCACGTGCTAGACCCCCAGCCACAACTTCAGAGAGCTCTACTGCAACAGCATCTGAGCACATCCCCACGTTAAGTCCTGGAAGTCTTGCCACCTGAATGCTTTTTTAGGCAGGTCTGCATAGATACGTGAAAGTTTGAACAATTCTAACTCGAGATCTAGGTAGTGTTTCCATACAGAGGACTGGTGAGCTATTTCTTTTCAGTACCTCTGTGGCACAAACTCTGCGTTTGTTACTCCACACGGATTGGAGGTCGCATCCACAGAGGTGGTCAGGTTCTCGGGAGGGACATTACCCTGGCAATGAGCCTCGTGATTCCCTAAGCACCAGGAATGGCATTTCGAGTTCAAGGCTGAAGACTGCATGAAATAAGCTTTCAAAACTATAGCCCATCTCAAACAGATTTAAAACTGCTAACCCATTTACTTTAAAAATATCTCAAACACCGCAGCACGACCGGCCGGCCACCTTATCTGTCCTGCCAGTCCTGGGCAGGTCTAAGATGGGAAAAGGCTTCCAAAGCTCCAAGCGGTGTTTCACATCTAACCTGAGAACCCCAAGGTGGCAGAAGCCGTAGAAGGCGGCTTCGGGGACCCATCGGTGTTCAGAAAGTGGGGAGGCCCGATCTGCTCTCCGGGAGAGCGGTGCCTGGGGACCCTCGAGACAACAGTGGCAACAGGGCCCTCGCGGAGTCGTCACACCAGGCTGTTCACCAGCCCCCGCGACTGGCACGCCCGCCCAGACCCCGACGCCTCGGGCGCCCGACGGGGAGAAGCGCTGCCCAGAGCGCGTCCCTACGGACCAGGGTTCACGGCGGCAGCCGGGTCCCGCAGCCCCCGGACTCCCGTCTCCTCGTCGCCGGAGCGCGGCCACCGGGCAGCGGCGCGCAGCTGGACGTGAGCCCTCGACGCCCCTGCCCCAGCCCTTCCACCCCTGCCCCGGTGCCTGGGCCCTCTCCTCGCCCGCGGCCCCTGCGCGAGGCCGGGGACTTGGCCACTTACTGGGGCAGCTGCGGGGCCGCGCTTAGTGGGCGGTGGAGGGTGCGCGGCTGGAGAGGGTCGCGTCCCGCGGCTGGAGAGGCTGGAGCACCGACCGCCGCCTGGCTGGACCGCGCGGAGAGGAGCGTCCCGGCTGCAGCGCTGCAAAAGGCGGCCAGGGCACGTGGGCGCCCCTCTGTGTAGCCTCTCCGGGGGCGGGGCGCGGGGCCGGGCGTGGGGCCGGGCGGCACCGCCCCCTCCCCTCCCCGCCCCCGCGCTCGCCACCCCCACGCGCGCCCGCTCCCAGTCCCGCCAGTCCGGGCGGTAGGCGGCGTCCTGGCGCCGGCGCTCGGGGCCCCGCGGTGGGGACACTCGCGAGCCGGCGCTGGCCTGGGGACGGGCGGGTGGGGACGCTCGGATGGGCCGGGGACCCCAGGCCCCGCCGGGAGCTAAAGCCGAGTGGTCCGGGATTCCTGGCTCTCGGCGGAAGTCCCCACCCACCCTGGGGCCTTGCCGAAGCTGCTCCTCAGCCGCGGTCTTCCCAGTGGGACTTTCTGTTCTGCCGTTATTTTCTTTCTTTTTTTGTTTTGTTTTAAATTATGTTATGGTTGTTCAGTTACGGTTGTCTGCGTGTGCCGCCCACCACTCCCCGCCCCCCCGCAACCCCAGCCATCTCACCTTTATTTTCATTTTCAGAAGAACTTGTAAATAAGAAAACACTGATACTAGTGTGATCAGGACAATGACAGTAGACGCCCAAGTGGGTGTGCTTTGTGAAGGAGGACCGCTCCATCTTCGAAAACCATGGAGGTTTGTAAAAATGGAGCAGTTGCTATTGTGCAGCTCCAACAATGCACATGGGCAGTCATGCTTATCTGGGGGGCGGGGGGGGGGGGCTCTGAGAAAATGACGTTTGCTCCTTCCACGAAACCCAGGGAGCTCACGCAATCAAGGGTTCTCATCCAGGCTACGGTCCACTTCAGGAGTCTCTGATAAGCGGAAAGCGACATTGCAAACCTACGTTAATTTTCACCCGAAAGGAGGCAATGCGTGTATATTATTAGTTTTGTTTGATAGAGCGTTTTACCTTACTTTGTTGAAAATTTTGGTAAACGTCTTTTTATTCATTCACCAGTCATACTATTAACTTTGGCTAAGGTCCAGTCATACCGGGGCATCCCACATACATTTTTAATGTCATGCGCTAAATCATTCTTGAAGACGTGTGTGCCCAAGCGAATCTGACTGAAGATTTGAGATTTCACCTCCGGAAATGCTACAGGCACCACATCCCAGTGCCTATTTCTGAAGTTCCTGTACGTGGGAAGCCATCCACCCTCCACCCCCACACCCCGCATTAAAGAATGGGAGTGGAAATCGCCCCGAGGCTACGAGAGCGTCATCTGTTCTAGTGGGTGTCCTGTGTGACGGAGGAGACTCTGTCCGTCTCAGCTTATTTTTACCGTGTAACCCAGATCCCCTGTGCAGAGAACCGTCAAGGACGGAGGGAAACGGCACCGCGCCCCCAGCACCAAAGTCACCCAATGCCACGACGCCTGCGAGGCACCGCCCAGCAGTCTCGGTGCACTGGATCTCATTTCTGAGGGCGAAGGGATCCGATCTAAAATTGTGCGCGTGTGTTTTTCAAATGGAGCTTGCTCTTTTTTAAGTTTAAGAGATTATTTATTCCCTCACGTGTTTGTATTTAAACACCCCACAGGAGCCCTGGCTGGTGTGGCTCAGTGGATTGAGCACCGTCCTGCGAACTGAAGGATCACTGGTTCAATTCCCGTCTGCGGCCCATGCCTGGGTGGCAGGCCAGGTCTCTCCTTGGGGGTTCTCCAGAGGCAACCACACATTGATGTTTCTCTCTCTTCTTCTTCCCTCCCTTCTGCTCTCTAAAATAAATAAATAAAACCTTTTTTTAAAAAAAGGTCAGGAGAGACTGGCTGTATGCCCACAAAGTGGGGTTCAAGTCTGAACCCCAGTAAGTGCCTGGGGTTCCGGGCTCACTCCCCAAAATAGAAATAAATAAATAAACACCCTGAAGGGACAGCTTGTGATTAGGGGGGAACCTAATGATCTTGGGATACGCTATTTGGCATTTAGAAACTGAAAGTTCAGTCAGAGTACCTATCTCTGAGTCTGTCTAGTAATCCGCCCGTTGGAATTGGGTACTTCCTGAAGCAAAGGCACATTGTGTTCGTTTGGGTAAATAATAAAAACTATTTCCTGTCTAAGGAAAAGTTAGTAAGTCCTTTTTCACCAGCTCAAAGTTTGATGGTATCTGGACCTGCCGGAGTCTTTGATTTACATAATCCCTTTCCTGTTTGAAATGATTGATTAACCGAATCCCTCATGTGATCTTTGGTTCTCTCAATGTTTAGAATGTGTTTTGATGAAGAAAGAATAGAATGTCCACAGATCTAGTATGAGCCTCTAAACTAGGCTATGGCAGCAGAACAGACGATTTAGAGACAAAATATTTGAAGTGCATTAAGTTACTTTGACTTCATCTTCACTCACATTTCCGTTCACACTGTTCCCGCTGCTCAGAGTGGGACTAGTTAGCATCTTCCTGGCTGAGTCATGCCCTCCCCCAAGGTGCTACACCTCCCCTTCTCTGAAGTTCCTCCATCAATTTTCACTATTATGCTTCTGGAATCCTTAGGCATGAAACAGAAATCAAAACTTAGTCATTTTAGCGGGAGCAATCTTCCCAAGATTTCAGAAGCCCTTATGCTTGTCTGAAGGTGTAAGGAAATTGCAGGGAATTTCCAAACACTTGCGTAGCCAAATAACTTTCACATCCTGTACTACTGCACTTACCAGATACGACCCAAAGCAAAAAGCTCCTGTCCATTCTCTCTAGTTCTAGGTTTGACTCCATGATCCCCAAGCCATTTCAACAAAGGCAAAGCGAAAATCCCAATCTTTGTTTTAAATTGTTGGATACTGGATACTGACGCTTGCGTTGTAACTGAAAAAGCCTGAAAGACAGAAAGGACTGGGCTGGAGTTCAGGCCACTAGAATTTCCAGGGTTTTCAGGCCACGGTTCTCCCCTCCCCTTATCAAAAACATGTACAAATTGAAGGCAACTTTGCAGTGGATACATTCCGTATCTGCCCATCCTTCAAGCGAAGCAGTAAAAGATAGAAAAAGTGGTTGGAAAAATGCAGTAAGTCCTTACAATGACAAATTATCTTTAATTTTTTTCTGCCTGTCTTTTAACTAAGACCAAATGATGGTTTTGCCATGGTTTTCAGTCCTGCACCCCATGAAATCCCCTGCACCCTTCACTTTGCTTGTTTTTGGGTTTTCATTACCTTGGCTATTAATCAAGAATCGCTCAGATCTCCACCCACCCTGTGCTGGTCTCTATTTCCTTCTGCCAGGATGCCTGCTGGGCCGGTATTGGCTCCAAGTCGGCCTTCTCAATGCAAACATCTTGGGCCAGTCTGTTGCTCTAAGGATTGCGAACTTGGGGGGTGGTCAGAAAGAGCTCAGCTGATGTAAATCCTTATTTTCTTTTGTTTAGTCGTCACCAAGGTTTTAAGCACTCTAGAGAGTGCTTCCTAATCATGTCCCTGGGTTTTTCTTAGTTCTTACCCACCTCTAATTCTTTCCTGCGTTCTGTCCCTTTCTGTCTTGAAATCCTGTCCCTCTGGGGCTCTGACGACCTCTTCGTTTTCTTCCCACCATCCTGGTACCTTTTTGTCCTGCTTTGGTAACCGTGGAACTCATACAATTACATTCTTGAGTCCTTCTCATCTCCATTCATGCTCACAATCGGCTTGACAGCATCCATCCCCAAAGCTACTTTGCCCGGTTTCATCTTTCATTCTTGCTCCAAAAGACACGGCCGGCGTGCCAGCACCTGGAAATACACGGTTGAAAACAAATCCACCTCTTCCTTAGCCTGGTATCTCTCTTCAACTTCCTTCTGTTTTCCTGGGACTCCAGGTCCTCGAGTGACTGTTCACTTCTTGTTCTCCTTTACTTTTCTATATTCCACCAGTCGCAAGGTTCTGAGACTATTCCTCCTTTATGCTTCATCACAGAAACAATCTTTTCTCTTGATTTCTACAGATTCATCTCCCTAACCTCTATCCTCATCATGTTAAGACAAGTTATTGTAGTTTTCTAAAAAAACTCATGGTATCTTCTCATCGATTATAGGTTCAAACTAAATTCCTTTGACCATGTAAAGTCTCCATCAACTGCCTCAGTACTTGTTCTCAACTGTTCTTTGGGACCTGAATTGTTTGATACAGTAGCCACCGGTCCCGTGCGGCTTGTGAGCATGTGAGCTGTGGCTAGTCCACATTGAGATGTGCTGGAGTAAAACCACACTGAATTTCAAAGACTTAGTACAATTAAAATCATGTAGCTAGAAAATCAAGGCACACCCATGGTGCCAGCCAGACCTTTGCCTGCTCCTGACCAAGCTTCTGGAAAGTGTGCGTTGAACGTGCATGCCCGCACAAGGGCGCCGCGTGGTGTTTCACCGAGGAAGCGTTTGCCTTAATGGGACAAAACTTTGAATGGAGAGTCCCACCCACAGAACTCAGCGGTGATTTCCCTTGCCTCCCACCGAGGTTGACTAACCATCCTGATTTCCCCAGGACCGTCCCCGTTTTAGCACTGAAAGTCCCATGTCCTAGGAAACCATTTAGTCACAGGGAAGCTGGGTGGTTGGTCCGCCTTACTTACTCATGGTCTGGGCTCTGATTTTGTTTTTCACTTCTAGCCACTGGGCTCCTGCCCACGCCATTGCCATGACAAAACAACAGAGACAGTGTAGTCGTGTTTAGAAGGGATGGGTTGCTCTCTCTGGCCACCATAGTGCTGGTTTCACATTTTTCCCCCTTAGCCTTGGTTTTGAGATGTCCTAAGGGGGTCACATTTCTTCACATCAAATTCATCTACCTTCCATTTATAAAATATGTCACTGGATACTGTAAGGAGGAAGGATGTCACACCTTCGATCAAATAAAGGAGGGATATTTTAATTCTAAAAAGTGGAAATAGAAGAAGTCTTACCTAAAAGTAGACTTATCTCTTCATTGGAACCAAGAGTTCCCTATCACTTCCTTTGGGGACTTCCCCCAGCCCCGCTAAAGACACGCTCGTCATCTAAGTCCCATTCTTGTTCTCAAGGGCTGTCAGCTAAGGG